CCCACACGAGTCCGGCTGAGGAGTTGAAGGCCATCGCGGACTTGAGTTCTTCGACCTCGCCACGTGTGAACTTGCTGTTTCGATCCCACGCGCGGCTAAGGAGACGATTCAGTGACAAAGGTTGAAACCTAAGCCTTACTATGCTATGTCAAATTCCATTTCAATTTTGATGCTGTCCGTGTGTTGCTCAGTTAGCGCACGGTGTACTGTATGCTTCAAACCAACTAGCTGCGTCGTGTGGCCGCAGGATTCTATGGCTTCGGGTGCTGGACATGTCCAAGGAGGTGATCTCGCAGGCGAACCTCATCAAGAATTCGGAGGAGGTGTTGGAGAAGATGAACAGCCTGCGGATGCTGGTGACTCAGCATAGCCTGACGCCAACCGACCAAATTTTCGACGAGATCATGCGGCAGAGTCTGGTGTGCCGGAGGTTTCCAGAGCTGCTTGCAGCTTGTGAGTCCGCAGGTGAGGGGACAGACGAAAAGGAGATGGCGACCATGATGCACGACTACCACAAGAAGATGGAGGACGCGCTGAGAGAGTATCCTGGCCTGGTGGAGGTCGGCAAGATGGTCGAGAGTTTCTGGCAAGATGCAGAGCCTGAGCTCCAGCTTCCTGCCTTTGTCCCGAGCTTTTGCCCGGACATTGACGATCAGCTGGACACGCGGAAATGCTTGAGAGAGTTTGCGGTGGTAGGCCCGGATTGCCTGTCGGCAGGTTGTTGTTTGTTTGTTGCTTGTGTTGTACTGTTGTGTTGCATTTTCATGGCACATGCACTGCTGGTGACCACGACTGGTTGATTTCCGATTTTTGTTGAACCACAGCATACCATTCCATACAGGAAAAGTGCCCTGCAGGCACGCTTCGAGGTCTTGTTGTGCGATCGGTGAAGGAGCCGGACATGGCTTCTGCTGCTTTGCTTCTGGGCGATGTGGCCAAGGCCTTGTACGAGTACAGCAAGACGCAAACTGCTGAAGAGATTCAGCCTTTTTGCATGCTGCAGAATTCCTTGCAGAAAGTGGTTGGGAAGTTGGAGGGGTTGCCTCACAACATCAGCCAGCAGCCATGGGCCCGAGGCTTGGCGGCAGCAAAGGACAGGTTTGACGAGGCCTTTGGCGAACAAGGGCGCCAGTGGATCAAGACTGCGCTGACAGACAAAGGCCCCAAAGATGCGTATGCCTACATCAACTCGTGCAACTGCTTGAGCGAAGGCTTGCGTCACTTCAAGCCCATCCTGGCGCAGGCTTCGTTTCTCCAGGAGCTGAAGACGCCTGAAAACACTCAGGATCTGAGCGAGCTGTCAAAGCGCATCAGGGGATACATCACCACCAGGAGCTTGGACTTGGAGGCGATGGATTTCTTGATGCCAGACCACGTGGCCAAGGTGGAGGAGTATTGCTCAGCCATTGCGAACAATGTGCTCAGCCACTTAAGGGACTGCAAGAAGAAGATGAAGGCGGCAGCGGAGAAGCTCGACAAGTACAGGCTGGCGGCTGCAGGAAAATTTGCGACCGTTGATGACTGGTTACTGGTTGCTGTTTGCTGTACTGTTCGTCAGCTGGTCATTGTGATCATCTGGAAAGTCAGGAGTGCCAGTGAGGACAAGCTTGGTTTTAATCCCCCCTCCCCCAAACCTTTGTAGTCTGAGTCTTAGTCGGCGCAGAGCGCGCAGTATATGCGAGCAACAGCCCCACGCAGGTCAGTTGTCAGTGCGGCTGACGTGTGGCAGATGGACAATGTCCGGTGGATGCTGGCAGGCGACAAAGCGGTCGACGCCGACACCGTGGAGATGGTGGCTTTTTGGGACAGCACGCAGCAGATCCACAACTTTGCCCAGACAGTGACGGCCCTCAAGCGCCCAGCCATGAAGCAGGACGACATGTTCTGCGAGGTTGTTGAGGTGCAGCAGAAGCTGGAGGCTCATGGGTATTTGGTTTGATGCTTTTGGTAGACGGTTCCTTTTTGCGCTGGAAAGCAAGCTGCTGACGTGATGTTTAAGATTTGCTGATTTGCTATTTGTTACCTACAAACATTTTTCATTTTGCCAGTTTTGCTTTGCGGTTTAAGACATGACAGGCCCATCGCAGCGAGATTGCCACTGCCGTGGCAAGCATGACGGTGGCGGCCATGATCTTGGAGAATGAGGCAGAGCCCGCGGAGAAGCAGCTTGGTGCTGCCCGGAAGGTTGGGGCATTTCTGACGCAGAAGTTCGGCATGAGCCCGAAGGATCTGCCGGCAGGGCTGCGGGCGAGATTCGAGCAGATCGGAAAGAAGCTAGAACTCACTATTCATTTTCAAGGTGCTGTTGTTTTGTCTTGTCTTGTCAGAGTCATTGCAAGGGAGTCGTCGTTGTTCATTATTTTGTTGAGCCGGTGACCCGACCCAATCCATCATAACCAAAGCTGAGGCTGCAATTGTTGAGAGAAGCCCGAAGCGATCATTGTTGTTTTGAAATTGTGATTGGTTTTCTTACGTTTTGATTTCTCTAAGTCTCAGGCCTAAGGCTGAAGGCTGAAGGCTAGCATCATTCAGCATCATTTCATCATTAATGTCACAGCACGTTGCTCATTTGGTTTGGTCTTGCTATTTTTGGGGATTCTGAGATGCGCTGGCCAGCCAAGGAAAGACAAGAAGCAGAGCACGGAGACTGAGGAGGCGCCGAAGCAGAAGCGGCGAAGGGACAAGGATGCAGGGCCTGAGGCGGTTTCAAAACGCCGCAGGTCTAAGTAGGTGCAAAGCCTATCAGGGGCAGGGGACGTTCGAGCGGGGGAGCTTGAAAACAACGCGGCGGCAAAACCTACGCGCGGTGCGTGTCATGTCAAATGCCATTGGGCCATGCCCGCATCGAATCCCCCACTAAATAAACACAAACTTATAATAAAGGTTTGGTTGGTCGCCCAAATTGTTGATGACATGAGTCAGTCTGAGCTGTATATTCTGGAGTTTGGTTCATTTGAATGAATGACAAATGACTATTTCTTCTCTGCTTCGCTCACTTCAACCCCCCCCCACGTTCTGACACGGCATCTGTGCTTCGATTCAGTACAAGAATTTGGCAGGGCTATTTCTGGAACAAATGCACCCCATCACTGATGATGCATTGTGGTTTTATATAGTCCCTCATACAGCCCAGACAGTTTATATATAGTTCCAGGGAATTTATATATAGTCCCAAATAGCGCCAGCTGCTTAACAAACAAAGAGGCCCACGCACCCATCAAGCCCTTTCTGTCAAGTTTAGCACGTCGAACCGTGCACATCGTATCCACTGCCTGGCTTCACTTGTCACACGCCACAGCAAGTGACCAAACGCCACGGACCTGTGATTGCCTTCGCGGCAGTACGCCACTACAGTGATGCACGGCCTGGCCATGGGTTCAGTACGCCAGGTTTGTGAACGAACCCATGGCAAGGCCGCACATCACTGTAGTGGCGTACTGCCGCGGAGGCAATCACAGGTCCGTGGCGTTTGGTCACTTGCTGTGGCGTGTGACAAGTGAAGCCAGGCAGTGGATACGAAATGCACGGTTCGACGTGCTAAACTTGACTGAAGGGGCGGGATTGTGGGCTACGCCTCGGCGCTCGTGTGCCAGCTGCAAGCATGTCAACCTCCCCTCCCAGTTGCAGCAGAGCTTGCAGATGGCTTACCAAAATGCTGTCTCCGTGTGGGCGACGCAGCTGTAATTCAACAATTGAAGCTGGTTGCACGCGCGGCGTGGTAGTACCCGTTTGCGCAAAATTTGCCGCAGTCTGCAGGAGCAGAGCCGTTTCACAAACCGACGCAGATGCTGTCGCGACAAAAAGGGGGCTTGCTGGCGTTTGCGGATTTTCGCACGGCCACTTCATTGAGGCAGGCAGGTTACGGCAGGTTTTCGCAGTCTGTCAGTTTCTCGATCTTGACTCCAGGTTGCGCTGCAGCAGTTGTTTAATTCAAATAAAACCATTCCTGAAACTTATTTAGTTCTGTCCACACCATTGATATAATATGTCATGTTGCCTCAGCAGAAGACATGGAAAGGCCAGACGCCGAGTCAATCGTTTCATGGTTTGGATTTCCACGCTGCTCTGCCTCGCAGGCTCAGCAATGACAATGGCAACATGCAAGCGACATAATGTCATCAAAGCAGCTGAATCACAACGCGCCACACCGCAACACAATGCAGCGCAATCAGTGCAGAGCAACGCAGCTACGTGATCTCAGGGTTAGAGTTGTTGCTCTGAGCTTCAGGATGTTTTTTTCCGAGTGACCCGCGGCCATGGAGGATCTTGCCGCGGTGCGCCCAGACCACCTTAGACCTCACGCGCACCGGTGCAGCAGGAAGAAGTGCGGCAAGTGCACTCGGGCGCACAAAGGCGGCGCTCTCCGAAGTGAGTGCCTTATTGAAGGCACTGAGAGGCAGACTTGGCTGGCTTGTGTTTCCGTTCTTCCTGATGCCTCGAACCTCGCCAACAAGGCTCTTCGCCGAGTGCTTCGGCTGGGGTGCGTTGTGTGCCACGCCTACCGGCGGAAGATGGTGCAGAACACTGAGAATGGCGACGGCTTAGGCTTGGATAAGGGCAGGGGCTGCCATTCAGGTGTATGAAAACATCCGGGGGCCTGAGATGCTGGAGCCGCTGGCGGACCTCGAGACGAGGTACGGCTCCAAGTCGTGCTTGAATGAGATGTGCAACTTGCACGCTCTGGCCCAGAAGCCGAAGCCCGAGGCGCGAGTCTTCGTCTTGCAAGGCATCCACGACCTGGTGATGAGGGGTCTGGTAACAATGAGGACATCACCAAGACAACCTTGCGCGGGGACAAGAGCAATCTGGATGGATCGCCCTTTTGGAGCTCAAGCGCAACTGCTTATGCGCGCTGAAAGACCTGGAGCGGCAGGAAGGGAAGAAGAGCCTTGGTAAAGTTTACACTTTTTTGCGTGATGTTCCCCTTTATTCGGCTGCGTAACTTCTAACATTTGAACATCAAAGCTTGCGCACTTGCACCCGAGCGCCGCAGGTTGGTCATGGTTTGGCTGGACACGGACTTGATGGGCGAGGCCCCGGGCCCCAAAGCTCAGCATGGGCTGCGCCGCTTTCTCCCGCTGGAAACCAATGGGGAACTGCGTAGCATTGTTCACGGGACAACGCAAGCCCGGGGCGCGCTGATGAAGACCGCAGAAGGAGAAGCAACATGCCCCGCCCCAGGCGAATTGATCTGCGTCCACGATGGCGGCCGCAAGATCATGCCCAAGGTCCGCAAGCTTTTCCGCCCCATGACATCCAAATGTGAAATCTTGGACTGTCATGAAAAGCAGGCCTCCATCATCTTTAACGAAGAAACCATGCGAGCGCGGAAGCAGCGCATCAAGAGCTCTGAGGCCTACACGTGCCAAACCTCAATGAGCATGTTCACCCGGAGCACACTGGTTCCGACCATGATCCCAGAGAAGCGCCGCGCGCACTACCAGGGCTACAACACAGGCGATGTCATTGGCTGGGTGGACGCCGTGCCTGCCAATGCTTTGTGGGAAGCGCCTCGGCCTGCGAAGGAACAAGTCCTGGGCAAGAAGACGCTGACACTGACCGCCGCCGAGGAAGGCAGCAGCTTGGCTTAAAAAAGTATTTTGCTTAACTTCCAGCGTGGGTTTCCGTAGGTAACGTTATGAGTTTTTACGCGGCCTAGGCCTGAGCAAGGATCAGCAGCAGCTGCGGGCAGCAGAGGGCCGCCTAGAAACGGTCTTCAGCGGCACGCGCTTGCCGAAGCAGTTCCACAGTGAGCTGCTGGCGTCGCTGTGCTGCCAAGGCGTTGTAGATCTCACACCAGGGCAAGGGTTCCTGGAGCAGGCGTGCTTGGATGCGCGCGTGCCAGTTCTGGCGGTGTGCCTGAGCGCACGCGGAGGCGCTGGAAGAGCGCCTGACGAGGTATTGCTTGTCCAAGTTTGTGGAGCAAGGGCACACCCTTTACCGAGAGGGGGCCAACAAGTTCTTGAAGCCAGACGGCGCCATAAAAGAGGACAAAGGCGACGATGAGCTCGGCAAGCGGCCGGAGACTGGAGGACAGGCCTTGCGGAGTGAGCTGTGGTGGTACCCAGCGGCTGGGGAAGCGTTGAAAGAGGCGGTGTTTTTATTTTTGAGCTGCCAAAACAGCGCGTGGGAGGCGCAATTGCTTTGAATGTTTCTGGGCTAAATTCTGTTCTATACGCACGAGCACGCACACAAACATATCCCTTTCCATTTCTCGTTTATCAGTATAGGAAGATATTACATCAATTTTACTTCTCATAAAACATGACGTGTTGCTGCTTTGAAAGCATGGACATGCAAACGAGCGCGCGCTATATATGCCAAACAAATGTGCGTTTAAATATCTAGAATTCTCTGCAAGCACCGCGCATTTTGTCCATGTATATTCACATCATGTTTTAGATCATATAAAAACGTAGGTTGTTGTATTGCAAAGCCAAATTAATATATGATAATGCCAGCGCAGCGCAGCGCTCCAAGCGCAGAACAAACCTAGTTTGCCTCAGTTTGCTTTCCGGGGCCAACTTGCAAGGGGCATTTCGCCAACAAACCGGTCAGCCCCACTTCCAAGAACGACAAAGCCCTGCGTGCCGGGGGCAAAGCGCCGCAAACTTGCAAGGAGCATAGGCCACAAACTTGCAAGGGGCATTTCGCCAACAAACCGGTCAGCCCCACTTCCAAGAACGACAAAGGCCTGCGTGCCGGGGGCAAAGCGCCGCAAACTCAAGGGGCATAGGCCACAAACTTGCAAGGGGCACCTCGCCAGCATGCCGACAAGAATGCTATTTGTTATTTGTTTGTTTGAGGCTGTTTGGCACAAACCTGTTTGGAAAGAAGCCCTCACAATATCATGTGGATATGTTTTTTCGCCAAAGTCAGCGTCGTCCGTGGTTTTGTCACCTGCACGAGCATGTGAGACAAGTCATATGCCGCTGCTCTCAGCAGCTGCTTTCAGCTTGTCTTTGCGCTTGGCCTTGCGGAATGCCTCAGAACAAGCCAACATAATAATGGCCATGCCACGACACACTCTGTCACTTTAGATGGCATGACATGCGACATAATCAACAGCTGAGCTCCCGGCATTACGACTGCAGTTGTACTGATGTTTTTCTGTGGATGGCTGCGACAGCGCCGATGGCTGCAGTGTTGCGGCGCCGTCCTGCGGCTGCGCTGCGGGCCTGGAGCCGCGCTGGTGGCAATGGAGCCGATCTCTGCGAAGGACTTGGGCCTGAGGGGTGCTCTTGAGATGTTGGAGGCGGGGCTGCTGCCAGGCATGGGGGTACCGCCACGCCAGGCTCAATGTTTAGGTCGGGGGGTGCCGCCACGCCATCCTTGTTGTTCATTTCGTCAGCTTTTCGCTTCGCGAAGGGGCTCGGAGCAGCTCCAAATTCCAGCGCCGCCCTTACTTCGTCTTCATCTGCGTGGCAGTAATGCTTCCTGAACACTCGCGCATCCGAGCGCTGCTGAATTTCCAAAATGACATGCTCACATGGCCTTTCTCTGCCGGGGAAGCGCCTTTTTTGAACAGTAGCAAGGCAGCGCTTGTGTGTCGAGTTGCGCCACGCACTGTCACCGTGTTTCCTTGGCACCGCGCAGATGGGTTCCAGCGACGGCTGTTTGTCAACTTGTGCATGACTTCCCGAATGCGCGAAAGGGCTGAGGAAACTGTTTGCCTCGACATGTTGGACCGGCAGCCCTTTCTTTTCGTTATAGCCGGAAAGAGAAAATTGTTGCCCCCAGTTTCAGGAATGGTAAAAGTTGTTTTCCTGAGCGGCTTTAGCTTGAAGACCGCTTCGTGTGACTGCCTGCAGGCTTCCAACACTGGAAGAACACCCTGACCGCAACTTCTGCACGCCTTCAATGGCTTCAGTTGAAAGTCGAGCTACCACCCTCTCTGCGCCCAACTTGCCGTTGCCTTTATACGCTTTGTCTTCCGCCCGCTGCTGGAAAAGCACATGTGGCTCGTCGTGGTCTTCCCCGCCCAACAAACGGAGATCCGAAGTTCTAAGAAGCAGCGTTTCACTGATCCTTCGGGAGGTGACAAGAGCAATCCACAGCACTGCGCAGTACACAGGGCCAGCAAAGCACAAAGCGACCGCGAAGAACAGGTCTAGCTGGTCTCGGGGCACAAACACATGTTGCTTGCTTGTTTTTGCTATGTTGCTTCCCCTTATTCCAGGGAGCGCGGGTACAACCACGGCGCCCCGCTGCTTCTGTTGCCCTTGCAGGCGGGCCATAATTTGGGAAAACCAGCCGCTGGAGGCACGCCGCTCGGACCGAGAAATGCAGCAAGAATGCACCAACCTTACCAATAGCTTTTGCGAACTGACCGATGGAGCTCCCCGAATGTACCGAAGCGGGCGTCGGTAAGTTAGGGGGAGTTGGGGCATTCCAAAAGCTCTCCATGTGACTGTGAGCGCCTATGCTCGGTTAAGAACACATATCTCACATGAGAAACGTGTGTGTGTGAAAACAGCCAGCAACAGCAAGCAAAGTGCTTGAAGAAAACAGCCCGGAAACTGCTCCTTGCCCACTTTCCTCCACCCAGACCCTGATCTCGATCCGCCAGCTGCGCCCTGCTGCCCCTGCCCTGCGCACTCCCAGCCTTGGGCAAGCCTCTTGGCCTGCGGAAATTCAAAATCCTTTGCTGCAGCACGGCTTTTAGAAGCGTCGCCTGTAAATTGCCACGCCAGCCCAACATGACGCAAGCAAATGCAAGAATTTGCCAGATTCTCGCTCCCAACCTTGTCCGTTGCAAAGCTAAGGCCGTTATTAATTTCAGCAGGTTCTCGATCTGAACTTGGGTGAGGGGTACAACCACCTTCACCAAACACTGAGGGTCTTGCAACTTCGGCGGCCTCCGGCTAACAACCGCCACACATTCACTTATGCAAGCAAAGGGGAGTCTTCCCCGAAAGCCGAGGCATCAATCGGTCCATATTCGCCCTTTGCACTGTTTGTTGCGCAGGCCAGCCTTGTTGAGCAAAACCAATGGAGAAACATCTTTATCCTCCGACGCAAACCTGTTTCCCGCAATGATGTCCCACCAGCAAGGGTTTGTGCCTGGACCTCGAAAAAAACCTAGCATCCGACATGCGCTGAAGTGCCCACCACCTTGCTGAAAAAGCCTTCTGGAGGAGTACCCAGACAACCCATATAACATCGGCAAGTGTGTGTGTGTGTGGGTACGCAAAGAGGGCTAGTGCGCGACCGAAGCCAGGCGCTGCTGGCTGCAGCTTGGATCAGGTGGCAGGGCCACATGGACTGGCCCTACAGACAGGAAATCCCATCATTCGCAGGTTGTGGTGGCTTTTTTTGAGGAAAGGGTGGAGGCTCTATGGCAGGTTCAAGATGGGGGCTTGGGCGGTTGGGCAGGGAGTCGTTCGCTTCCAGGCAGGATAAGGCGGAGGTGTGCAGTCAGCGTGATGCGCTGCCCATCCACTACGCTGCGGCAAAGTATACACGGCGTGTGCGTGTTAAACATCTCCTTCACCACGCGGTGCTGCAATTGGTGAAGTTTGAGAGTTGGTCCCTCATCCCGGAGCATCCGCTGGCCGACATTCGGCGTTGCTCCTGTGGAGCATGGGGATCGCGCTTTGTTTCGGGATCAGCATACCTTTTGGTCGGCTCCCCCCAACCCGCAGACCTTGAAGGACAAGTTTGTTCTCAGTGATGCGCTCAAGGCTCAGGCGCAGAAGAGCAAGGATGCGGCCGAGGACAACATGCCCCCGGTCGTTGGCAATTTTGTCCTCGCAGTATCTCAGAAATAGCAAGCGGCTTTGCGCGCCTTTCCAGTTAAGTGTGCCAGCGGGGAAGTGGTTGCCCAGATTTGCACAAGTGTGCAGCGGTGCTCCGCACAGGCTGGAGGGGGCGGCGGCGAGTGGAGATCCCACAGGCTGTTTCTTCGGGGCGGGGCCTGATCGGCACTACGGGTGCTTCGATTGCAGTCTGGTGGCCAGCTCTTCATTTCCGGACTGCCTACATCCGCAACAAAATCACTTTCTGCGCGCGTCTCAGCCAGAGGCCAGGCAAGGAGCCTATTGCTGCACGAACTCGGCTGGCTTGCATACTCGGGCAAAGAGCTCCACGTCATCGGAACTGCAATGGCAAGCAGGCCATCGCGCTGCTCTCCATGGTTCCAATTTTCTTGAGCTTCCTCCCGTTCCCGATGATGACCTTGCCTACTCTGGCTGGTGGCTGGCGCATGGTAGGTGCTCATTGCCCGGGTTTCGCAAGCGTGTGGCGGGCTGGTTCTGCAGCGGAGGTGGAAGTGTGTCACCTCTCATCTTCGACGGTTTCAGACAGCTACCATTCGGCGTGTGACTGACCAGCGAGACCTTGGTCTGCTCGGGCTGCTTCTTTTCCTGGCCTGATTATACTTATCCGTACAGGCTCATCAAAGGCCTTCCTGTTGTTGGCTTTGCGCCCAACTATGAGGTCTTTCCGCTTCAGGAGTTTCGCCTTCTGATGCTCTTGCTGCCTGCAAGCTGAGGAGCTCACCTCGGCGACGCGAGGCCAGCCTTATATATAGGCTCATTCCTAGGTGCATGATCACCCAGGCGTCGGGCAAGCAGCGCGTCATCGACGTTGCTGCGCGCGGCGGGCAGACTGACACCAACAAGTTGGTGTTGCGTACACCATTGCGTCCTGCCCAACATGTTGCTATCCTTTCAAGCTTCATGAGCTTGCCTTGAAACTCCTGTCATGGCGGAGGCGATGGTTTTTCGGACGCTTATCGGCATTTGCCGATCGGTGGCCAGGAGGCGCTGCTTTGCGTTGTCGCTTTCTGGCACCCCCGCTTTTGCGGTGCACAGCTCGCTTCTCTTCGGGCTACCGCTTGCGGTGACCAGCTTCAGCCGCTTTGCTGAAGCTTTGTGCGGCGGCTTCTCCGCGCTATGGTGTCCCTCTACTATGCTGCTGACGCCCATACCACCCTGCGATTTTGCGCCAGGGCTATATGGGCTGGATTTTGACCTTGAGAGGGTGGTTACCACTTCTCGGTGCGT